AGGCATCGATGCCACAGTCACCTAGTTTTTTAACTAGGATGGGGTGAGAGACGGTGTCAAAGGCCTTGCTGAAGTCCAGAAAGACTACATCCACCGCGACACCTGCATCCATGGCCTTTGTGACCTGATCATAGAAGGCAATCAGGTTGGTCTGACATGATCTCCCCTTAATAAAACCATGCTGATTGCCCCTGAGCATCATTTCTGATGCCGGCCCCTCACAAATGTGCTCCTTGATGATCTTCTCAAAGATGAGAAGTAAATGCCTTGTTACTGTCTGTTCCTATAGATTATATATCACAGAGGCATGTTACTTGTCTATTGTTTATATTCTATATGCAAGCCTTTTGCATTTAAAAGTTAAGATTTCAATCCATATGTTAAACTTCTAAAAGCTGGACACTGGACTTCCTGATCCTACATACCTGTTTACGGGCATGGCCATGTTCTTCAGCTGGCATGTTGAATGTGCTTTTGTATAACGTTCTGGCAATAAGAAAATAATAGACAGAAATGACAGTGAGTGGAATAATATAGAACACCAAGAAGCAGACCAGAGAATGAGCTTCCTGCAGTATTTTCTCAGATACAGGATATGGGGCACATGCTTCAAAAGATACGTTTTTCTCGGGATTGCTGAATGAATATAAATCTGAAAATACAGCCTCTGGGATAGCAAACATCATGGAGACAATCCAGACACAGCCAGCTTTACAGCAAGTCTTCATAACAGCATCTGATGTCTGCAGGTCCAAGGGCTTCACAATGGCTCTGTATCTAGAAACATAACCAACATCAACGTGTCAGAATAAATGCAGCATCATTAGTCTTATAGCACCGATAATTTAAACTTCTGGAGGCAAATGCATTCCTGCTACATCTAAACTAAGATTAATAGAATCACCTTGGCAATTAATATGAGATTAATTTTGTACATTTATTTTCAAGCACATGATACATATATGTGCATTTGGTTTTCTATGTTATGACATAAGCAGGGGTGGGCAAAATGCAGCCTGTGGGCCGGATGTGGCCCACCAGGCCATTCTATCTGACCTGCGGGACCCCTAAAAAATTTAGAAAATTAATATTTATCTGCCCTTGACTGCCCGTCGTGCAGACCTTGATGGCTTGCCAAAACACGGTAAGCGGCCGTCCACCCAAAATAATTGCCCACCCCTGACATAAAGTGATACTAGCTTCTCCATAACTGAGGTTGAAAACCTAAGGATAAATTTTAAGCACCTACTTAAATCCTGTTGTCTGTAGTCTACCTGAAACGTTCGTCCCCTGATTCATCTTATCTCCCAAATGACTTGGCTGGGAAGCTCCAAATGCTTTTGGCTTTGTAGGTCTTGCTGAAAAGAGGTTGTCCTCTTGTGCTTGGGTTGGAGGGCATTATAGGTTAGTATTGGGACAGAACTGTATATACTGAAGTTATGGAGATGGAAAGAGAGATAAATGGGCAAATATACAGACTAAGAGCTGATGAAGAAGTGTGTATCCCTCAATGTAAGTGTGAGGCTGAATGTGGTGAATCAGTAGAAGACAAAGGAGGGTGAGGGAAATACTCAGCAGAGCAGTAAGCCAAGAAGCTCCCAGACCTAGTCTTGGAAATTAATGGATCAGCTTACTACTGGAGATAGACTCTAAGGACTTAGTAGCTGAAGGGATTTTAGTTTTTCTGATGTCTCAAGCAGAGGCATAGTAGCACAGCTTCCTAGCAGGGGCAACTGTGTGGCACCTGGGGCAGCACTAACTCCTGCCATACCAATTGCAGTGGCTGCCATTCCCAGTCTGCAGCTCCTTTGTTCTTGTTTTTGGACCAGGCTGAAGGCAGCCTTGGCTTGGGTTCCCTGTACAAAATTCTGTGGGTAAGCCCATGAAACTTCAAGCATTAGGGCACAGTATCATAGCTGTATCTCCCCATGTAGCGAAAATAGATACTTTTCTCTATGTTTCTTTGTTCCTTGTTTTAGTATTAACCCCTGCATTCTGTAACTTTCCACCCACATGGTACAGGATGGCCCACTACGCATGTCTTACATGTTGCCCAGGTTTTGTTTTGTAATGACCAATCAAAATGTAACACGCCAACTAAAAATTGCTAGCTCAATAAAAGCAGCGCGCGCACTTTGTTTAGGGTCGACACTGATTTGAGCAACAAGCTCCTCTGTCGGCCTGCTTGCAAGCAATAAAATAGAGTTGGACCCAGCCTGAAAGTGTGACTCTCTTCTAGAGGTGAATTGGACTAGCCTTCAGGGGATAAAATCAGCAATTTATGCAACACCCACATCCTTGTGACCACCGTTCATGACAGCTTTTAGGCAGTTATGGAACACCGTTTAAAGTCCATTTGAGCACTTATCAATACACATTGGTCTGCTTTTGATTCCTGCCTGTGGAACTGTGTGAGCTGGAATGAGTCAGACAGACAAAATAAATGGCAGGAATGTGTGGTGAATGTCAAGGTGAACATGTAGGCAGGAGAATGTGTGAAAAAGAGAGGAAGTGGCAATTAGGAGGACAGGGCAGAGGGACCTGAGCAGCAGATGAAACCACTCTCCCTGGTCTCAGAATGGGTGGATCTTGGGGGAGGCAGAGGAGATCCACGGAAAGGGCAAGAGGCTGGTGTGAAAGGGGATATAGTGAAGCAGGAGGCATGGCTCAAGAGGATGGAAGAAGGGCAGTGGAGCTGTGCCAGTTTGTACTAGGTAAGGACCTTGTTCTCTGTCTCACTTCCAGGCAAATTCAGAAACAGAGCTGCAGATGAGAACACCAGTCATAACTCTCCTGATCCCAGACTTTTCCAAGCATCGTCATTCATTTATGCTCCTGCTTCCAGAGTGATTTTAACCATAGGATTACTGGGTTAAAATATCATGTAAAGCAATTATACCATGGCTTCCAGGAAGAATCAATATAGCCACATTCTCCATTGCTATTTTGGTTGACTTAATTCTATAGTATATGTTGTGTTACTGGGGATTTACAGGCTGGCTACTTCACCCAGTTACTATTTGGGCTTGCCTATACTACAGAACTGCAGCCGCGGTAGCTATGCTGCTATAGCTATGTTGGCAGAGCCCTCTATCAAATTTAAAGTATGCCAGCAGAAGAGGTTTTTCCCCCCTTATGAACAACAGGCACTCTTCTGTTGGTGTAGCTGCATCTACATGCGTGGTTTTGCAGGCCAGCTATGTCAACAAGGGGATGTGATCCTTTGACTCTCTTTGCTGGCATGCCATGGCAATGGTGTCACAATTTTGTAGTAGTGACTGCATAGAATAGACAGTACTTCGGTTTTCTAGCATTCAAAAACCTTTTGAATTCTTCAACACTGAAAGTCAGTGAGATGGAGGCTTACATGCTGTCATAGTAAAGCTGTCAGTCTAATTTGAATTCTAGTTTCAGGACCTATGAGTTAAAATGTCACTAGAAAAGGTACAGTAACTAGAAGTCCAAAACAATGAAAATACTGAAATAAAGCAGTGTGGCATCAAAATCATAATAAGTACCTGTCAAGATGAAAATTATTATTGCATTGTAATAGCCATCAAATTGTAAAAAGTTTTGAAAGTAACAATCTTAAGAAGCAATTGGTGTTTTTTTAGAGTCTTAGGGCCCCGTCCGAAGCTGATGGAATAAAATTAATGGAAAAATTCCCGTTGTCATTAGTCATCTTCTTATCTGTACTGTTCATCCTCCTGACTTCTTCCAGGCACCACTAGGTAGCACCAATATACAATCTTTTCCCTCCCTTCAATCATTTATCTTTCTTGATGTGTTTAAAGAAAAATGTGTTTTCTATATGCTTCCAAGGACTAAAAGGTCAGGCTTTTTTTTCCAAAATTCTTTCTAAATTGTCTTGCATATAAATAATTCTGCCACTTTTTCAGTTAATATTGACTTTTAGCTTACATTGTTATTTTTTTTTTAATTGGAAAGAGAAGTAGATTTTCGTCTGATCATTTAACATCATGCTTTTCTATCTGAGGACAAAATGTTACTGATTAATGCAAAGGGACAGATTCTATCTTCTCATTCATTCTGAACTTCATGCACAAATACTTCTTAACAAACCAAATTGCTTCAGACCCACCTGTCAGCACTGAGAACAGTTAAAGTGAACACTGATACTCCAACTGAAGTTAGCTGGATAAAGGACAACAGCTTGCAGCCAATTCTTCCAAAGAGCCAGGTATCCACAATGTAGCGTGTTGCATCAACTGGCACACAGGTTAACAAAAGTAACAGGTCTCCAAAAGCCAGGCTGGTTATGAAAATATTTGGAACCGTCTGCATTGATTTAATCTTAAAGAAGACTTTGATGAGTATAGCATTCCCAAGGAGACCCACTGAAATGATCACAGCATAGGTAATATAAATAGTGCACAGTATTTCTAATCCTGGAAAGGAGTCTTCAACCCATCTTGGATCTATGGTATCGTTGTCAGCAACAGCTCTCACTTCTGTACCATTTACAGATTCATATAATGTCTGATTAGCCAAATGCAAGTGTATCCAAGACATTTTCCCCAGGCTGTCTCGAAGTTGATCAAAAATGTTTAAAACCCATAACGTATAAGCAAGACCATATAAAAGTGTAGAATTGTGTTTGAAAGTGCAGTTCCGTAGCGCACAAGCTCATTTCTTTCACCTCTCCCGAGTCTGAAAGCACGCTTTGGGTAAATGCACACAGATCCAGATCCAGTTCTGAAATGTGTGGGAGGTGGAGAAATGTTTTATTGGCTTTTCAGCTACTGAAGGGGAGAAGGAGGAGGAGAAAGTAGGAAAGTGTTTCTTAACAGTTTTATCTGCAGTGATATTTCTCTCATTGTGAAAAAGGTGTTTTAATACTACTGCAGAAGCTATGTTTGTATGTTATTTAGCAAAGATTCCATAAGAAATCCTAACAGTATTTTTACAAAAGAAATGTACTACTTCAAACCAAAAACCTGAAACATATAAGTACAAAATCTGCTAACATAGTACTAAACTTAAACTATTCTTAATATCGGATTGCAACAGTTAATAGATATCTGAATAGGAAAAGAAATAGAGACATATGGCAGTGCTTACTTTATCCTGATTTTTTGCTCATGTCATAAGAATGCAGTGAGCAAATTGTATCCCCATTCTGCTCACTTAGGTATTTTTAAGTTTATTCATCTGAACCATCCCTTTGACTTCCATGGATGAGTTTGTGCTTAAAGTTAAACATAAGAGGTTATGGGACTGGAGCCTGTTATTTGTGGTGACCCAGACTTCAGGAGAACTTACAGCACAGACCTGTGGCAGACCTATAACTTGCTAGCATCTTTCCTATTTCACAGTATCAATTAAAAATTGCCAGTGCTGTAGTTTTCAGTGCCTTTAGTTTAGCCAGTAAACAGTCAAATCTCAAATTCTGCTCTGAGATGATTTCATTGACTTGCATCTATGTAAGCAATGGTACTGGGACCTGGACCCCTGGTGCTGATTTCCAGTTTAATCATTCCCAAAACTTGGAGGAGGAAGGGAAGACTAGGGACTGAAATTTGGGCATCCAGAGCTGGAATGCTAACTGGAGATTTTTTTTTCTCCATGTCCTTTGCTGCTAGATGCTAGCTTCTTCTCCTGTATTCATGCAGATTGTAAATGTCTGTAAACAAACATGAATTCATGATGGATAGGATCCGCCCAATCTCGGTACCAAATCATGGCATCAAGCAGGCCTCTTTATACAGCCACAAACCATACACAAAATGCTTGATTTTCTTTGCACCCACCCCTCGGCTCCATGTAACATTCAGGCAGCCATGCAGGACACAGACCCACAATGAGGCCATCTAGAAGAAGGGGTCATGCATGCATAAAAGGTGTGTGAATAAAAATTCAAATTAGGACCTTTCATTGGGCTTTTTATAGAAGACAAGTTCTTGTCACAATCAGTGCTAATAGGTCCTTTTAAATGGGTACAGTATGTAGGTTGCTCACACATTTAGGTGCTGCTGAGAATGCCTGATTATGTTGTCCACCCACACTGGCATAGTAGCGCACATTATGTTTAATACAGAGTTCTGCAACTGTAGCAGATTGTGACAGCTTAATGTCAGCTACTTATGTAAAATGTTTAGATTTCCTGTAAAGGAGGAGTATGTATCTCCAAACACTGAGAACTAATTGCTTTAATTATTTTTATTCACTGGGGGACAAATACAATCTACCAACTGTTGAGTACTCAGAGTAGCACAGAGAATGAAACACCAGGTGTGTGAGTAACTCAAACTGGGATTGATCTGAGATAATCTTGTAACTTGCAGTTATGAATGCTTGAGAGATTTGCTCGTGTTGCCATGTTCAGCTATGAATTCAGATCCAAACTCCCCACCTCTCTCCAGTCTCAGGATATTCAGACACATTGGAGAGATTGGGGCTCTTGGAATAAAGCCTGAGACTCACATTTGTCTTTGCAGTTTGAGCATTTTGTACCACAGTGTCGGAAGGGAGAGGAGGAAGAGCTGGCCCTGGGAAGATCCCCTCAGTGTTAGGGATCCTCTGGTAGCATGGAGGCTCCTAAACCACCAGCCCTCCCAGCAGGTGGTATAAAGGGCACATTCAGGGAAAAGGGATTTTCCTGGCACTCTGACTCAGCTGCCGTGTTGGCTGCTTGGGTCTGCTAACAGTTGGCACAAGTTAAAGTAGACCACAAAGAACTCAGAAGCCCCTTTTCAAGCACACTTCACTCTGTATGTTTCTCAACTGAAGCCAAGGGTCTGTGATGGATTCTGGATCCAAATCTAAAGGTCCCAAGTTGATATACGGGTTCGATGCAGAGTTTGTGTCAGGCCTTTTCCAAAATGTTAACAACAGCAGGTGAATGAAGAAAGCAAAGACAAATCTATTCTGCCTGCCTTTATCTCTGATGTAGCATAGTATAACTGCATAACAAACAACACTCCAGCAGTAAGCTTGTTGTTCATGTTTGCCCTTGTGATGCAAAGACCGTACACGTACCAGCTTCATACATCCCCCTTCTCAGATTCTTTTTGGGGAGGATTGGAGGCAGTTTGCACTTACGATGGAGTATCTGGCTGCTGACTTAGCAAACCAGCAGTGTTTTGATTTCCAGACTGGAGAATATTTTCACAGCTGAAGTGTCAGAGTTAGGAATTGGAAATGTCAGCTTGAAAAAGCCCCAAAAAATCATATGCAGATTGTTCAACTTGTGGAGTTTGAATTTCTCTGCCCATCCATCCTCTGCTATTCTCTAGTTTCACAGAATGAGCTGGCTACATTGAAAAAAAACAAACTTTAGAACATTTTAAAACTAGATTCCAGTGGATTTCAGTAATGAAATTCCAAACCAGAAAAGGAAGAGAATGGCATCATCACTCTAAACAACCAGAGAGATTATTTTAGAGCCATCTCTTCAGGTGTTAAGAGAAAATCAGTTTGGGTAATTTTGACTGTTCTCAAAGTACTACGTTACAGACATGCATGTTCCTTTTAAACTCAGAATATAAGTAAAGCAATTTACACAGTGTTTTATTTCACTATCTTTGAATGCAAATACTCTATTTTAATGCAGCCTGATTGCTATCTTAAGTCATTTTCATATACTGTGCACCCACTCAGAAAAATTCCTTTCAAAGGCATTTGCTCTGCATCAAACCAAAATGTAGAGAAAACCACAATTTTTTTAGGGAAATACATTTGTCTGAGGTATAATTATTCTCAGTCAAGATTCTTTGGGTAAATGTGATATTTTTTATTCGCCCAACTAAATATTCTCAGTAGCATATTTCTATTATATTTTCATCATCCTATTGGTCATGCAGAGTTGATTGCTTTTTGTGAAATCAATCAGAATGTTTCATAGCTAAACTGGCAGGTATACAGATTTATAAACAGGGGTATGCCACAAAATTCACTAACCTATTTCCTTCAGGATTATTTTAATTCACCTTGGGCACATCTATATATGCCTATTAATGCACATCAATAAACTCTGAAGCTTATCGCTCCAGAGCTCATTGCTGCCAGGTGCGCGTCTGCATGTGCACATGGGATCACAGCATGTGATCTGGGGCGGAACAGCCCCGGCTGGCAGCGGGGTCCAGGGGGTCAGCCTGCCAGCCCAGGACTGCTCCCCCTGGTTCAGTGTGCTGTGGGGGGGCTGGCTGAGGCACACAGGTACTTCAGCATGGGGCTAGCCGGCAAGCAAGCACCCTTGTGTCACAGCCAACTATGTGCACTGCTGCAGAGTTTTTGACTCTGTAAAATACAAATACTTTCCTGCTATGGAGTAAATTAGTTAACTGCAGCCTAATAGGGGTGCACAAGTAGACCCTGAGACGTTTACTGCACAGCTAACTAGTGTGCTGTGCAGTAAACGTTTCGTGTAGATGCGCCCCTTCCTAGGTTATTGCTATTTTACTCTCTGTGCATAGAAATATTTAGCTGCCTTTTCATTTTTTTTAATGTCTCAAGCATGATTACTGCAATTGCTTTGACAGTCTCACTTGATAGCTTCTCCCATCTGTTTGTGGCTGGCTGATATATGCCTCTATCTTTTTGTTACAAGGATTGACAATCATCTTCTTAAAGAGTTAAATAACAGTAAGGAGGTGCTGAACTGGCTGTCTACTCCTGATTTTGGGAAGCTCTGTGTTCAGGTCCCCTCTCTCCTCATGGGTTCTGATAGTCTTTTGTATGCCCACACTGAAGATTTAAGTTTTACAAATGTAGTCTCAAGAGTTGACGCACTTGGCCATTGAACTGTGGCAGAGCCACCCATTTTCCCAAGAGAAGGGCTCTCAGGTGTGAGGATGGGTCCAGCCATTCTTCTTGCCTAGAAAACAGTCCCCACATAGCTGTGGAGAGGGTTCAGGGAGGTTTCCTATCAGCCAGCTTCCCCGATTGGTTCCCTACCCACAGAAGGGACACTATGACAAGGCTCGCTCTAGATCTCAGTCCCTACTGTCTCCTTACTGACCACAGGGATGTTTCTTTTATAGACTGGCCCCTTCTCCCAGGAGATCCAGCTCCCAGCCACAAAACCCTTCTGAGTACTCCATCTACCAGGATCTTTAGCCTCACAGGAACTAATACCCAAGTAATGGGAATGCAGACCTGGTTCACATGCTCTGTTACAGATTCTGTGACCTGGGAGCCTCTGAAGTTACAGATTTGCCAGCATTATCTGAACTGCTTCTGCTAGAACCATAAAAAGATAAGGGATCATGCACATTGTTGTAATTTCTCTCTCCCCTCTTGCCTTGCTCTGTCTGTTGTCTTCTCCAGTCTCTGTGATTCATAGAAAAGCCCAAAACAAACCTCTGCATTTTAATTTCTATACTTTCTTTATGATAAGGCAGTATTTTTAGTATCCTTTTTCAAAGAGAAATATGTGACATCTGACCGAACAGCATGGATGATACCTTCCTCACCTTAGCTTCTACTTGACTGGTCATGAATATTTCATCTCTGTATTAAGGAAGTTGTATATGGCCTAGGACTCACATAACCAGTGACCTGCCACACACAGAGCTGGGCTTTAACTTCCATCATACACCTGAGATACAGCTTTAAAAATTTCTGTTTAAATGGAAGTTGTTAATAACATTAAGTTATGACAATATAAGGTCATTGAGCTGAATACAGCTCCGATCAATAGTGACAATTAAAGAGAAGTGGTGCTGGCTTCTAC